GCTCAAGCATTCCTGAGCCATGTTCAAGCATGCTTCTAGAAATAAGATTTCAGTCCCGTATAGAGCTTGTTTGTATTAAGCCCCATAAACTCTTTTTTACCAAGTTCATGAAAGACCACTTGCAAAATGATCCACTGAAAATAGTTTTCACTCATACTGATAGGACAAATGAAACTCATGGATACATATGAAAGTGATTTACTTCATGCCATAAACATTCACAAATCGTTTTGAACATAGTACAAGCATTATCCAAATGATAAGCACATGCCTAGTAATAATAATACAAATGGGAGGAGATATCAACAATTCAGACTAGTGCACAACGAACAAGTGTGAGTTATAGTGCCTACAGATTTGAACAAGTTCATTTCTGCTGTGATTCAACCCAAGAACACTGCTGAAGACAGCTGCATGAGACAAAGCAGGAAAATTTGTGACATTGCTACTTCATGTTAGAAATTGCCTTCTGATGCGATGGAACTATCAATCTTGAGACAAAGAATAGCACCAGTGCAAAGAGATCTCACACCCTCAGAGATCTTGGGTTCAGGTGAAATATAAAAAACCTTGTATCACTTCCTCCTTTGCAGGGATTTTTGTGAAAACTAATTTCCCAAAAGTTAAACCACTCCACAAGTGTTCTTTTGAGCATTTTAGCAAATTATCCAATTACACTTTGCCACCCTCAACCTCTGAGGCAGGGTCCTTGGACAAAAAAAGCAGAAAAGTGGCATATTTGACCTGCACCTTAAAATAGCAAATTGAAAACAACAATGCTCTCTCCTGATTTGATACTTGAGACTCAAGGGGTCATGATCCCTCTTAGTTTCAGGATATGCTACCTAAGTACGCTGAGGATTATAAAAAGCAGGAAGACACCAACATATCTCACTCTGTCACCAAGAACCCAAGGATCTTCTTGGGTGGGAGATGGCACTAAAAGAAACACATGGGTGATCAAAGCATGATAACCAATGAGGAGAGTCTCTCTGTTCTCTAGCATATGTGAGGAAAGGTACAGTTGCATCATTGATAAATAAGTCAATCATGTCTACAGTCAAGATAAAAGTTGGAAATGATCCCCAACTCAGTTGCATGCAAATGTAAAACACTGATGAGCGTTTTCCTTAATTCTTGCAGTTGACCTTTTCCAAAGCAGTGAAGGAAGCCAAGGATCAATCCCTCTGAAGTGTCTATCCATATGTATTACTATCTCCCAATAAATGCACTCTGAATAAAAACAATCCTGACAATAATCTTGCAGACCTTCTTCAAGGAATAGTTCTCTAAAAATTACAGATGGATGTTATTGAAAAATGGCTGAGTATTATTTTATACAGTTTAGTCTTGTCAAATGAAGGAAACAGTGACTTCTAACAAAGAGTTCCAATTACAAGGTCTCCAACAAAAAACAAGACCTTTTATTCACTTTTATAATATTCTGCCTGTCTGCAGTGGTTACTCCTATGCAAAAAGATGAGCATTTAAAGTAATACCACACTGAATTATTTGCATATTTTAACAGCATATATATTTTGATTCTGGCAGGGTGGCCTCTTCTGATTTGCAAGATTTAGTTAGCACATTAAAAAAAATTTAACGAAGAGTATTCATTTTGTTTTGACCTTCCTATTTTAATAAATTGTATATCATGCATCTAGGAACCCTTCAAATAAAAGGGAGAGACTTTCTACATTTAATCCACCATGATCACCCTGTCTTGTCCAAGAGACAAGTGAAATGAAATGAGATTCATGATGAGAGTAACTGCAATGAAGCTGCATCCAGTGGAATGAGTATTGAGGAGAACTATGCAATTACAGAGAAATATCTTTCATTACTCAGGTACTAAAGGGGATACACATCTTACACCTCATGAACAAAACATATATCAGTGATCTGGAACTTGAATACTAGACCTATAACGAAAAATTGTGAGGATACTCAGTGTGAAGGCATCAGAAAGTGTCAATGGAAGATGTCACAAATATTTCCAAGATCAAGCCTATCTTTAAAAATGAATTTGTTCAATAAACAACACATGATTTGACATCAAAATGCCACCAAGCACCTTGTCATAAGAAAATGACAAATTTAATTAAAGTCATACATTCATAAAGTAAAGCATCACTTTGACGGCAAAAGAAAAAACATGGTATTGCAAAAAGTCAAATACTTGTTAACTTGAACATTTTTATGAAAACACAGCAGAATATACTCTTTCACATCCCACAAAAAATGTAAATGGATTTCAATGATGAATGGAAACTAAATATGATTGAATTGAGATGCTAAGTGCACTTTGAAGTGGAGGAATATTAAATGCTTACCAAATAATGCAATCTACTTAAGAACAGCTTTCATAAGCTGACTCAAGCAAATGCAATGAGATGCATCTGACAGGCAATTTTCTAGACCAGTAAACATTCAACCATACATAATCATCTTAGCAGTGGGGAATGAGACCATCATCCAAACAAGTAAGTACTCCTTCATCTTGACTTCAAAATAGATATCTGCTTTTACCTCAAGTAGAATCCTGAAAAGGAAGGCATTGAAGTATGCTGACACATGCCCTTCTACTTCCCCTGGTTCATTCAAGAGAAAGTGGAAAGTATGGTTCCTCTCTCCCAGATATATGGATGGAGATTGACATTTTCAATAGTTATGGGGATATAAGTGATAGAGCTATGGAATGCTGAGTTCAGAGCTGCAGGACAGAGACTAGTCTTATCTTAAAATGTTCATTCATTAAACAAAAATTACTAGTAATTTAACTTGCTGTTCCAAAATATGGGAAGTTCTATGGGAAGTTGATAGATGAAATTAGGTCAATACATAACTCTAGGACAAAATTTCCTTTGAAAATTATCAATGATAAAGTAACCAGAAATGCTAATGAAATGACAATGAAAGCTGTGCATGTTGGGAAGGTTTGAGTGGAGGAAGTGGCTGGATGGGTGCTTGTCTGCTTCTTGAATTCCTCCTTGCCTTTATTTTTTTTACTGACATAAAGACAATAACCCTCCTTCCCTGAAGACTGAATACAGCAAGATCTCATTTAATTATGTTACTAATACTTTGAATCATGAATGTAGAATAAAAACAGTCTTGGTGAGGAGCACAGGCTTCTACTCTTTGTCTCTATCAAAAAACTTATTGGTGAGTACAAGGGTGTCTGCTAATACATATGGGCCAAGTCCCCATACATACATGTATGGCAAAAACAAGACCCCTAATTTTTAACATGTTGATTCCAGATGGCCAGTTAAGACATTTTGGTATAAATTCCTGTTAATGGGATAGTGAACATGTTAATCAATAAACTTCTGCTCTCATTGCTGCTGTTTTTCATGAACCTTGGACCAAGCATAGGCTGATATTTTCTGAAGAAACATGTGAAATTTCATTCAAATGTGATGTGCCAAGGCAAGTAATTATTCAAAAAGAAGTAGAAAATTCAAATTAACAGACCCCATGTCTGTTAATTTGAATTTTCTACTTCTTTCAGGCAGGCAGACAAGGGGAGAAAGTGTCTTCCATGTTGTGGCTGCATATCATCTAGACACCTAAAACCTCTTCCTTAAGTATTCATTATTTGGGCTGGTCATTTGTTTCAGGGCTGACAAGCCTTTCTACAATTTAATAGCTGCAATATAAATAAATAATAATTACAATTTAATAATACTAGTTATCAAGAGAGAGTTTGGTCTATATTTCTTCAGATTTTCCTCCCCATATAGCTTGAAGGAGGAGACACACAAGTCAATCTCGCTGCAGGGATTGGAGAACCCTATTATGTTCAATTCCCAATTCTTTGAATAATCAATTAGGCATAGCCTTACTTTGGCATAATGAATATGGATGAAATGAGGAAAGCTTGTTGGAAGTATATCATTATACTCGAGAGCAATTTTGGGGGAAAAGTACAGTAGAAAGTAAGAAAAGATGTAAAAGACAGCCCAAAAGTGTGATATAATAGAATTTTAGGGTACAGATTATCTCCTACCTAGACTGTGTCAAACACACCTGCCTGCAAGATAAAATATTGTATTACCTAATATACCAAACCACTATCAATTAAAAGTGAAACTCACAGAATCTAGCATACACATATCTTCAAGAAGTGCATGGTATTTGACCAGCTGATATGAGTCACTGGTAACATATCACAATACTGCCCTTGATCATTTGTTCATCACTGGTGAGTTGTTTTTAATTGACAGATGGCATAGAGCATGGGAAACTTGCTAAAATCCCCTGTGATTCTCAGCCACATTAGGCCAACAACATGAATGCTTTCTGGGGATAATAGGTATGATGTCAAATATTCTTCAAGTGAGGCAAGGAGGACATCCTGATCTGTAGCCTCCATTGTAATGAGAGAAACTGAGCCCTGATGTCAAGATGAAGGAACAGCTAGGATAAAAAGTAGCAGCAGTGGACAAGGGATCAAGAATTCCAAATCAGTAACAAACTGGCAGTGGATGCAGAGATATGCATAGCATATAAATGCTTCCTTCAAAGATAAAGCCGAGCATTGGACCTACACCATGGAAGTCAAGATCACAAGAAAGGCAGAGGAAGACCAGAAAACTAGTGCAATGAGAATAACTGATGAACAACTACTGATGAGGCTTGAGACCTGATGCTGTCCTCAATCACTTTGAAAAGAAAGAATAGAACTGGAAGAAAGTGCATGGACATATCAAAGCTCCCTTCAAGATGACAAAATGAAGATGTAGTGGTGGACCTCAACTACCTCATCTTGTTCAAGAAAAAAGCAACCCTGTTTCTGATAAGAATTCTAGAATCTCTGTAGGAATCAGAACTCATCTTTGAGTAATACAAAGGAAAAATTACAGCAAATATCAAGTAGAATGCATACCAGGAGCAAGCAAATTTCATTCCCCTGCAAATCATCACAGAAATTTATCAACACCAGGAAAGTGAAGTGCTAAATTAATAGAAATAATAGAAATAAACTTGCAAAACTGCAAGTTGCAAGGGAATAGGGAATGCTTGTGTGGACCAGCATGAAAAGTACACTCATAAAAGAGAAGAAGCTAAACATGAGCCACTTGGATATTGGGATGAAATGGACTAGGCAAACATGATGATCACACCTACCACAGATCATTCACTGTACCCATGAAATGGGGACCCACAACGGTTCACTTTCCACCAGCCCGACTGCTTCTATAAGCTTCTCAAATGCTTTGGACAGATCATCGTTGACAATAACTTCATCAAACCAGTGTGCATATACATACTCCATCCTCTCAGCTGTGTGAAGCATCTCCCATAGTTCCTCATCCTGAAAATGAAATGGTGGATTAGAGTTCATGAAGTCAGTAAGATCTACTAGTGTAAGCTATTGGGATATGCACCTCAAACGCATAGGGCTGGGTACATGCAACATTTGTGCCACATAAGGCAACTTCGTGCCTTTCTTGGGATAATTTGGTCAATTTAATCCTAAAATATTCCCTTTTGTATTATTGTGGGTTGCTGAGTGAAATGCATGTTGGAGGATAGATGCAGGGTGTTCTTGAAGTCATGGAGTGGTTTAACCCCTTCAGTGCTTCCCTTTTAACTAGTTTAATTGTGACACACTGTCCTCAGTGTGTTCTGGATGTAGTAGTGAGGCTCAAGTTGCCAAATTTAAGGAACTTTGGTTACATGTCAGACAGGGATTTGGTTGATAAAAATGCATACAAGGTGAGCTTCCTGACTTAGAGAAAAATAAAAAATTTCAGCACTCTAGTGAAATTGGTTCTCAAGACATTCTGCTCCCAAGTTTGCCCCAGAGAATAAGTGACCTCATGGGTCAAATGGCTATCTTTGCCACTAATTGAACAAGAAGTGTTTTGGGCTCAAATGAAAGCTGAGACAAAGCTGAATCAGATTTCAACATGGCACCATTCTTCACCTTCAATACAAAGAAGTTATGAATTGACAAAATGAATTAAAAAATCACAATTTTTTTATTATAAATCTACCTTAAATTTCAAAGGGCAACATGGTTATACAATGAACTTTTGGAACATTGCCATTCAAGTCTGTAAAAATGAAAATAGCTAAATATTAACTACTTGATTTACTTCAAAAAATGGCAAATTAAATGTAAGAAGTCCCATTCCACTTTTCCCACTCAATTTGACAGCTTACATATTCCATTCAAAATAAGATTCAAACTTGAATCTAAGGTCAAATAAAAGCTCTCTCAGAGCTCCTACGAGAAATGTATGACATAAGCTGTTATTTTGAATTCATGAGTTTGTGTGATTTTTTTTATTTGTGAACTTTCCACTTTTTCTCTTGATATATTTTACCAAAACTATCTAACGATGGAAGTCTTGGTGATATAACTAGGTCTAGGTATATTTTGATAGACACTTACAATAAACAGGTTTGATTTGAATTTTTACTTTTCTTCAAACCTTAGTGAAATAAAACGTTAAATTTCACAAATTCCCATTATGCTTTCTCTTTTCCCATTTCAGACAAGCTACATGCTTCATTGATATGTCTATGAAAGTTTTTCTTTGCGCTGCAATGAGTTGAGTGTCTTCCAGAAGAGAACCTTCCACTTTCCTAGGTTCAGCATTTAGTACCATATACATACAGATCTTGGAAAAATTAATCAAGAACTACATGGTACTAAATCCTTAACCTGTGAAAATGATTAGACAGTGGAATTCCTAATGATTTTTCAACATTTGTCTCCCCTTGCTTTTTTATTGTGCCCTATTGAAAATTGGTGTGAATTGGCCACTCAAAACATACTGTTATGCACAGGTCTATCATCTCTGAAGATAATGCATGAAAATGCAAGGATATTTTCCTACTATACTGTATACTATACACTTCAGAGCATACTAATTTTGAAATATATATTATTATTAGTTTATTTGCTATCAGGACACATAGAAAATGTACTGGGGCTATCTACTTGTAGGGAGATAAATGTCCTTATACAAGGTGTGGCTATTATGTTTCCAGACTGGTTTTATTGCTTAATTTTGAGAGAGAGGAGGGTAGTGGGGCTATGACAGTAACATGGAGGGGAGCCTTAGCTAATAACTGGGCAAGTTTCAGAATGGTCTGACCAGTGTGTTGTGAGCTGTGACCCATTAAGGTAGACCATATTTGTGCGCACTGGTGGATTTGAAATGGAACATAATCTCGAGCAGAGAACTAACATCAAATTTTGTGTTAAATTGGGGAAATCCATAACTGAAATGTTCGAAATGTTTAAAAAAGTTTATGGTGATCATACCATGTGCATGTTTTTTCATGGCATAAAAGGTTTAAAGAGGGAAGAGAAGATCTCAATGACAACCAACATTGTGGAGCACCAATCACCAAACAAACACCTGAAAATGTGTCAAAAGTTATGGATTTGGTGCATTCAGACAGAAGGTTGACAACTAGAATGATAGCTGAAGAGTTGAATTTAGATCAGTGGTTCTCAACCTTCCTTTTACTCCCATTGAACCTTCATGCATTCAGGGGGTGACACCTCCCAGGTTGAGAACCACTGATTTAGATAAAGAAACAGAGTAATTTTGAAGAATGATTTGGGCATGAGAAAGGTGACAGTGAAAATGGTGCCTCAGTTGCTGACAGCTGAACAAAAACAAAGGCGATTGGACGTTGGATCTCTCAGAAAGAGCAAAAGAAGGAAATTATTTTTGGAAAGAATCATCACTGGAGATGAGACATGGTGTTATGATCTGGAAATGAAACATCAACCCCTTGAATGGAGAACTGCAAATTCACTGAGACAGAAAAAAGCTCGAATTTCGAAGTTGAAAATCAAAACAACACTGATTTGTTTTGTTTTTCTTTGTCAATGGAATCGTTCACTCAGAATTTTTTTTGTACCAAAAGGGCAAACAGTCAACCATGTGTTGTGCATGAATGTTTTGAAGAGGTGTGAGGCTGAGAGGAGGAAAAGGGGCAATCTGTGTGAGGAGAACTTATAGATACTGCATCACTATAACAAACTGGCTCACACAGTGCGTTCTGTTTAGGAGTTTTTGGCCACCAAACGGATTACTGAAATGGTTCACCCGCTGTATTTGCCTGATTTAGTCCTCAGTGACCTTTGGCTGTTTCCCAAACTCAAAAATTTTTTGAAAGGCCACCGATTTCAAAGCATTGGAGACATTCAAACGAATGTGACACAGGCTCTTAAAGACATCCCGAAAGAAGACTTCCACCACTGTTTCCAGCAATTGCAGCATCATTGGGATAAGTGTATAAGTTCTGGAGGGGAGTACTTTGAAGGTCATAAAATAGATTAATTTGTAAGTTAAAAAATTAACATAAATAAAAAAGTCTGGAAACTTAATAGTCACACCTAGTATGCCTGCCACCCAGTGTGATCTGCATGTAAGCATACCCATGCCTACTATGTCAAACTGGGCAGCCCTATGTTCTAGGAGTACCAGAATTGACACTCACAGTGAAGCTCCTAGAGTTATTGGGGTCATGTGTAGACTTTGCATAAGCATTCAGTCTTGTCTCCTTGAGGACTTCAAATGGTGGTGGTTTGATGAAGATCACATATGGTTTCAGCTCTGGATTCCTCAGCATCTTCAATGCCTAGGATAATCCAATCAACTTTATTAAATTTTTTCCCCATGAAGATGACAGATATCAGAGAACATCCCCTGTGAACTACCTGATAATGGGGTGTCATAATGCATACACAACCATTGTGCATGATGGACTTCACACTCTCAGTGCTTGTGCCATAAAAGTTACCCTTGTATTCACCAAACTCCAAAAACTTCCCTGCATGAATCTCACTCTCCATGAACTCTCTTTCCACGAAGTGATACTCCCTGCCATCCAATTCCGTTGAGCGACGAGGGCGAGTTGTGTCTGATAAAGGCAATCCAGGAATGACTCCATGACAATGTCCATTCAGGAAATTGAGTAAGTGAATGTTAATCAAATCCGAGTCTCACGCTTTTGATATCTACAGTATTTCTATGAAGAAACTACCTAATTTTATTTGGGCATAACTTTTGGAAGGACTGTCAAATGTGGCTGATACTAGACAAAGTGGTTGAAGGTCTAAAAGGTGTTCTACCATGGCCATCAGATGCCTATTTACACTGATGGGTGGTGCTGTGGTCACATATGCAAAGGTAAATAACAGTAACTGTTTGGTGCATTGCAATTAGAATAATTCTGGCAGCTGTCAATACTGCAGGAAATGTGGGTGTAGTGAAGAAAACAAACAACACATTGCACCAACTTTGGAAATAGACAAAAGATTAAGCTGCTGAAGCAAACAATCTGAAAGAAACACAAAAGGTTTCAAATGAGTCCTCTATGAAACTTTGAGTCCCCAAGTCTCATAGGAGGTTGTGCCATGAAGAAGCTGTAAGTAAGAAATTAAATTAGTTTACTATTGGCCTTAGTTAAGAGTGAAAAAAGTGAATAATTGCCCTAAAGCTTTGGCAAGTTAATGCATTCAATCCCAATGAGTGATTTTATCATTCATTTTTTACACACGTGTCATTGGCAGTGAATTGGATAAAGCATGTAGATTACTTGGAGTCCTTTAAATGTTCAGTGATGTTCTTCTACTCCTGTTTCTAAATGATAAAAAATCCTTAGAAAAGGTTTCCATTTTGGATATACTGAGATATATCTTGCTTCATGCAGGTTATGAGGTGTTTCTGATATAGAAAGTAGTTTAAAAATGCCTCCATATTTTTATTCTTAAAGAGACTGTCTCAAAGCTCAATTCCCAGAAATTCAAGTCCTAGATTCTCTTGATTTAAGGTTTTCTGATATTTTTTCAGTCATTTCACAAAAACTTTCAAGCACAGGGATGCATGGACAACTCATTGAAGAATGTGAATTCCAGAGGATAATACTGTTGCATAAGTTTTAATAATGAACATCCAGAAATTTTGTCTCAAGACCACAGAGGCAACCTTTCATCTCAGAATGAAAAAATGAATCTCTAAACATTAGCTATTCAACTAGTCCAAGCATGAAAATTGCAAGGATTATCCTCTAAAGACCTGGGTGAGATATACATGCACCAAATTTAGGGTTTCATTTTTCTAGAACTGAGAAGGTAATGTTACTCTCATCCCCTCTTCTTGCAGCAGCTTTGAAACAGTCAGACCTTTTCTTATCAGACAAAACAGGAAAATAAGACTTACAGGGGACTGTGGTCCTGAATTTCTCTGGATTGAGGGCAATAAGCCTTCTTTTCAATTCATTTCTGCCAACACCTTCAGGACCAATAAGGACAATAGGACGGGGCAATCCGGGCCGTGGGTATAGTCGAGCAACTTCCTCATATGTGGCAATCTCTTCCCGGTCAAAGTCATCATTCTCTGTGATGTCATACATGATCTGCTTTACTTTTTTCTCTTGTGCAACACCACAAGCAGAGAAAACTAGATAAAGAAAACAAATGAAACCAATCCAACCAAGGTGAATGAAGAAGAATGATGTCTACTTACATAATAGAAAAGTAAAAGATGATTATAAAGTCAGTTTGTGGATGTACAACATTCTAGAACAAAAACTATACATTGCAGCTCTGTGAAAGTTTGGAAGATGTGTTTGTGCATAACAGGGAAAATGTCATGTAAAATGAAAAGCATGCCTCATATTGGGCACTGACAGCATGAGATCATGTATTTGTGGTAAGAATTGGTCAATATGCCCACCATGAATCTCCACAACTGTTCCTAATCTGTGTCCAACATAGAGACTGCAACTCTCAACACGTTGCAGTGAATGGATTCCTCTGAGTATGGGATCAAGGATCAGTGACTATAAGCCATTCAGTCCCTATACAGTGAGCAGGAGGAGTTTGGATTGTTTCCTGGTGCATACTGGACTCACGCATGGTTGTGTCCTCCCTCCTTTCCTGTTCCTCATGTACATGGACAGAATCTGTAGGCAAAGCCTTGGCCTGGAGGGGGCCAACATCAGTGACATCACGGTAAGAACACTTCTCTTTATTGACGATGCCATCCTTTTGACCTGTTCTCAACATGAGTTCAAGAGCATGCTCGATCAGTTCAACTCCAAAAGCACTGCATCCAGAATGAAGCAGAGAATCACCAAGACACAGGTCATGGTCCTCTCAAGAAATCCTGTATAGTGCACCCTGCATGTCAGAGGGGTCCACCTGGAACAAGTGGAGTAGTTCAAGTACCTTGGGGTCTGGTTCTCAAGTGGCAGGCAACAAGGAAACAAAATCAACAGCCATGTCTCTGAGGCTTTTACAGTTCTGTGGGAACTTTGGTGAACCATGGTTACCAGATCAGAAGTTTCTAGGGAAATGAAACTCTTGGTTTTTAACCATTTGAGGAGTGAGTTTTTTCAAAGCTTGTAAGATTCCCCATAGTGTATATATGGAGGGCAGGAGAGAGTCAGCCTGGAAACATATGGGCACACTCCTTAAAGGGATAGGAGTGCTTATCTCCCCACCCTCACCTATGGTCATGAACTTTGGGTAATGACCAAAAGAACCAGAATGCAGATGCAAGCTGCTGAAATGAAGGGTGGGTTACCAGCGTCTTCGTCATGGACAAAATGCAGCATACACTTTTGGTCATTGCACTATTTTGTCGCAGGCAAAGATAGTTGTGTGGGTGAAAGGAGTGAAAGCAAGGTGAACAAAAGTGGCAGGAAGGAATAGGCCCCCTGTGTTCCTCAGGTCATAGTCATTCTCGATGTTACTTAAGGCATTTTGTGTTCATATGCATGCATCCAGTCATGTTAATGGCACTGAAATACCTCAAGTCTTCTAAAAGTAAATAAAAGCTTCACTATTCTGTAGAGAGGCAAAGTATCACTAAGATAGCATGGCGATGTGAGCTGTGGAGCTATAAGGGTAGGATGCACAGAAGAAATGATGGAATGGCCATCATTCACTGACCACAATCATGCACCCAGTTCTGATTGTGTCCAAGTGGCAAAGACAGTTTGGGAGCTGAAAGCTGCAACTCAAACTTCTCAAGAACCCATGCATAGACTTGTGCAAGCTGCATCTGTTCCCAGCCCTTATAATGCCCTCATGACAAGAAGAGTGTGACGATTGGTGTCTGCAACGAAATAGTGCATGACCAAAAGTGCATGTGATGCTTTATCTGTGATAAAATGTCCATGATGGTCACAGTCAGGTGGCTGGTGTGGCATACTGTGATTGGATGCAGAACTCTGTCATCTGCAAGAGCCTCCATGTCGAGCAGCTGCTTCTCAGGATTGAGAAGTTTCAGGTCAAGTGGTTTTGAAATGTCTGCTGCATGCCCTCTGAAAGAATTCCAAGGAGTCTTCCATGCTAAGATGACAGGCCAAAGACCTGTTGATAGACGTAGTATAAGGTGGAGTGATTATGCTGCTCGGCTTTGTCACAAGAGGTTTGGCATTCTACTAGCTAAGCTTGAGTTGGTTGCCCAGGATTGAGGTCATTGGAGGATGCTCCTGGGCATGCTTGAACCATGATTCCATTAAGTTGGGATAAGTGGTATCGAAAATGTATGTATGTACGTACCATGAATACATGACATCACACCAACAGTGCTACCCATACAACATGCTTTTCCTTTTTGAATAACGTTCTCTGTGGTGCACTAATATGACTCCCAAAGTTTCCCTGAACCGTGATGCATAGTTTTTGTTCAAGAATGTTGTAAACCTACCAACAGACTATAATCACCCTGTAAATAAAAATTATATAAGTGTAAAGTAACAGAAAATACAAACCACTACAAATCTAACTGCAAGTGTGTACTTCCATCATTCAGAAGAATCAGGATAAGAAGTGAATAAAGGAGAACAAAAGTACCAAAGATAATGCCATATGCAAGTTGAACACAGGGAAGTACAATAACTCACGGTCTCTGGGTGGAGGGCACCTTTCTGTCAAAATCCTCTTCTCTTGCAATGCCCGACTAGGAATGAGACCAGATCTCATACTTAGATCTCCCTCTCTTCGTGCTTGCCACCTGAAGGCAAAGTAACACTACTGCTGCATAATTTATATATTTTCATTCATATGAAACAATTTTCCCAGAAAAAAAATTACTCCCAGCTTTGAGAGTTGTAGAAGGAACCCCATTACTTGAAAATTATATATGAGCATTATACACCCCTTTGCTGAAGTTTTTTTGTGATGACACACTATGAAAAAGTTCTCCTTACTTTAGAAGGTTCTATTCTTAGACTTGCTCCTGATATCTTGGGATAAATATCTGGGATTTACACACTTATTTTATCAAGAAACTTCTGCAATTGAGCTAATTCAATAGAAGCAGTTTAAAGGTTAAGGAGGTCACAGTCACCAATTATAAATTGCCTCCATGATTCACTCATTCAGTTCACAGTTGATTTCTACACATGCAATCCTCCCTCTTCTTTTTTTTTCACCATGCTTCTGTGTAGAGAAGTGAAAAGTGGGTAAGGTAAAATCTCTCCCCATTCACTAAATTTGTCACTCATTGCCTCACACACGAAAAAAACCCACTCCAGTTGCACCTTTGGACACACTGTACCATCTTACTGATCATACTCACCAATATGGATCATCATGGCTCACAATGTGGAGGATATCTCCATTCTGAAAGGCTAACCCTGCTTCTTTGCAGGGAATGTACTGGTCTTCCAGTGGATTATAGTCAAAATGAGCCTTCAGCCGCACACGACTTTCATGAAATGTCATCTTGGAATCACCAGGAATCAACTTGAATGTTATGGTGCCTTCAGAGTTTTTCTGCAAGGGAAGATAAATGACAGGCACTTCCTGAATAGCATGGACTTTGATACAGCACTCAGGGAAAGACTTTGAACTCTTCAAATGGATGTTGACATGGATCTTATGAAGAAACTTCCCTGAGGGTTATAATGAATTCAATTGAAAATTTGAATGATTTGCCAAGGCCAATTACCATCATTCAAACAACTAAAAGGAAATGAAAAAGAGTAATCAATAGGCCAAAAGATTCTCACCAATATTTCCAGTACATCATTCGGGCTCTTCCCTGCTACACTGATGCCATTCACTTCATGGACTTCATCTCCAACATGAATGAGACCAGAACGGTCAGCTGCTCCGCCATGCATCACTCGAGCAATAACAATACGTCCTGTTGCTTTGTCAGCTTTGATTGTTGCTCCCTGTGGGAAGATTTGGGGATCACTTGAGTTTAGGACAGTGTGCTATGCATTGCACAAGACGGACACAAATAAATCTATTTAAGCAACGCAAAGGTAGGGATGCAGATGAAGCACATTCAAATAGGAGTTGTTATAATAGCACAGCTTCATCTTTCAAGAGGCAGCACTATAATGCTGAGAGCTTTAACAATAGGAGTTCTCTGGAAAAGGGGCATATGTGCTCATACGCCCTTTTTCCATATCCGTGTCCATGCGTTGCTTTAGGTGACTAGTCATAAGATAGGGTGGTCAGCAAGTAGTTAACATGTGTATTCAGCAAAGGAGAAGCAGATTTTCCAATGCTCTCACTATATAGCAGGCCAACTGTATGGCAATTTCAATATGGCTACCTCCATGAATATTCCATTAGTGCTTGGATGCTGATCAATTTTGGTGGAATTATTTTGTCCTTTTAAACTGAAAGTGATAATGAGAAAGAAACCAGAAATGAGGAAAGGGAAAGAAAGAGGTGGAGTCATTCAAGCTTCTGGAGGAATGTGAGAAGTTGGAGATATCCATGAAATAGTTGCAGATTCAGTTGATGAATACATTCATAATGGATCACTGCAGAGTTACTGGTGAATGAAATGTGTCCTGAATATTCACATTTACATTGCTATTCTTCAAGAAAGAGTTTATTTGAAATCTGTAGATGCATTTATTGATTAATTATTATTTTTAACTGGAAAGAAGTGGTGAAAGAGTAGTTGGAAAAAGTTTCAGCAGTGAAGATATGGAAAAAGGGCATATGTGCATAAACGTTTTCTGCCTGCATCACAGCAATGTGAGAAAAGAAATTCATTAAAACCCCAAGTTCAATAGGAAAAAGGTTTAAGGTACTATTTTACAGATAATTAAGTTTTGACCAGCTTCAGATTAGCTATGGGAAGTTTCTATCATTTATCTTGAATTGCATCTTTTGCAAATGCACCCTTTTTCTAGAGAACTCCTCAATTGAGATTCATTCACCAGTGTGCAATTTTAGCTTTGTATATAATGCCATAACATTTTTTAAAACAAACTATTCAAGGAGAGTTGGTAGAAGAAACTCATTAAATACAGATAGTTTTTAAAAAGAGGAACAAAGACCTGTTACCCTTGAAATGCTGCACTCACATATGAACTTTGCATGCTGGAAGGGTAAACCTTCCACATGCTTCTTCAAAATGTTTGTGAATGCTGCCAATATTATCATCTCCATGGGTAAAAAAATTCAATGACAGTCCTTTGTACCTCTTCTGAAAAACTACCCATATTTAATCAGATGACTCAACCAACTGCACTTCGGATAAAAGTCTGTAAATAATTGCCATTAGATGCAAAACTGAAATTTTGTTGTAGGTGAAGAAGGTTTAGGTGTAGGTAAGATGAAGGAGCTGTGGTGCCATTACTGATCACTACTTCTGGAATACACATCATATTTTCATGTCTTTTATAGGGAACTGGTCCAGACAATTTTTGAGCATCAGGAACCCAGTACGTATCATGTAACAGGTAAATCAAGAAAAAGTAGGGAAAGACATTGTATGACCTTCGTAGGTAGATGAAAATATACATGCATTCAAATCCTATTTTGTATCTCTTCATTGTAATACTGAAATAGTTGGGCATCCAAGCATGCAGGTATAAGGCTTCATTCCAAATAAAATGTCAATATAATAAGCAATTGTGGGTGAGATTGACTTACAGCATGTATCACCAACACATGGTTTCAAAAACCTTGGTATTACACACTTGACCAGCAAATACAGGAAAGTGCATTCAGTGCACTTCCTGTATTGGAAGTGCTTTTTGACATGCTCAGTTTTATTCCATTAAAATAAATTTTCAAAGCTGGGTTGCCAAGATGATATTAAAATTGAAATTGAGGATGATTCCATCAAATGCAACAAAAATCATGTACACCATTGATTGAAGTTAAGAGTTACAGTAATAAAAACATGTATCAAGGCTTATGAAATGCCCTGTATTAGGCCTGCAAATTTTTCATAGCACAGAACTTCATGCTTCTCCTAAAAGGCTGCAAACTTCAAATTAGGTCTATTTGGAAAAAATGCATACATGCAGTAATATAAATTGGCACCATCAAGGACAGAGAAACAACCAAGTCATAAGTAAATCAATAGAATTATTAGAAACAAGATGAGATGAGCATGTGATGCAACAAGAAAAAAGTATTAAAAGGCTGAGGAAGAGTTAGAAAGTATCACTTACAACAATAGGTTCACAGGACTGCCCAGCTCCCTGAGTATAGCATGGAGAAAGTGAGAAGGAAAGATAAAGACATGGAGGAAGGCACTCTCAGATCAGAAAAACATAAAAAAAAAAAGAATTTCCAGAGCATGCAAGTAACGTCATCAAACTCACTCAATGTCAGAAAGAATAATGGCTTAAGGTTTTAAATAAGTAGAATTGATGTAAAATAGCCTCAGCAGAAACAGCATACATTTCCCATCTTTTACTCAAAGCCTAGTCCTGCATCATATGCTATGTACTTGTACCAGTGTTTGTGTTACTTAGTATAGCAGCAATTAGGGCACTCTCTATGATGAAGGCATCTGCATTTTGAAATCTCAATATTGAACTTTCTTTCTCTCTTTTCCACAGATCAGGAAAAGTTTTTTTACCATACCTTTTTCAAGTAAGGGTGAGGCTAAAAGAGAACAGCTGGAAGAAAAGCTCCATATATACAAATGCATACAAGTACTAACAGAAGCTTCCTCACCAGAGGCTCACTGCTCTTCACCAATTGGACGATCTTAACAGTCTCTTCATCTTCATCTACTTCAGTTGGGATATCAGGCAATCTTGGGAAATAATCCTTCTGTGCTACTCCATCATGTGCATGTACTAATCCCTTGAGAATAGAAAAAAAGAAATCAAAAGTCTTGCTAAAACCTAAATTAAGGCAAGACCACCAAGGTACAGCCTGAATTCAAGAGCAACCATAATGACCTAATTATCAATAGCTTCAGCATGTCATCAGCAACCTCTCTTACTTTGCTCTTATGATGCACAGCTGACCTGGAAATGTGGCTGTTGCAAGAGGAGGAATAACTCCCGGACTTCCAAAAACCTTGCTGCTATTGGTTCAATTTCATCCAGTACATCATTGACAATATCTTCCATATTTCCCAGGACAGGAGGAAAAGACTTCTGTTCATCATGGCTTCCAACTATGGCACTATGAACCTGAAGTAAAGCTATCAACTCCTTTGACTGAAGAAGGTTGCTAAGGAACCCAAAATCCTCATCGGTTCCAGCAAGAGATGATTTGGCCTGGCTCAATGATGTCACCAAGTTGGCAAGTACTAAAAAAGAAGAAAGTAATTGATGGTCAAATTCAATCCTAGCCTGAGGTTGGCAGAATCATGGTTATGGTACCATAGATCTCAGCCTACTTAAAGGATTAAGAATGTTACCAACAATATATTTTACTAAATGCTGATATTCACCAAGAGGGATCCATTATGACTGATGCAGGTGAACAGATAATGGTGATTAGTTTATTGCAAGGCCCAGTGAAATAATCCCAGGCAGCAGAACATGTTTAGGAAGTACCATTAGTAAGAGACCCCTTCAAAAAGTAAACACACTGCTTTTTCTAAAATAATACTACTGTCATACATTGTAGTATCAGAATCAATACTACGTAGAATACTACAATGAGGATATGGCATAAAAGCAGCCTTTATGGAGTAAAGGAGGAGGAATCATTTGCTAAATCTCCCTCCACTTCATGTACAGGAAAAGGTACATTTCAACTTCATTTTGAATGACTGACTTTTTATTCTGAAAATCTAGAAATGAGAAACTTCCAGGAAACAAATTTTGCAGTGCTTCTGTGATATTAATAAATTGCAAACCTAGATGATCCACAGCAGATTTTATAAAGCATCAAACAGGATACTTTTTTTTGTGCCAACCAGTATATAGTTTCATACAGCAATATATAAAAATACATAAATATAAATATCACGGGAAACTAAATGTAACTGTCACTTAAGATCATTCTGAAGGGTAGGTTGACTTTCAACAGGAAAAGTTAAGTTGATTAAGATTCACAGAGAGAACTAGAAAAAAATTAGTTAACACTATCTGTTGATTCCTACATGCACATTTGATTAAGAACCAGTGAAGGACTATAGAGGGAGATACACATGCTTGCCCATATGAAATCACCTTGAGTTAGATTCCTTCACATAATACTCATTTTAAACTTTGCCACAATAATTACAAATCAATACCATGTTTCAAGTAGCATGCAAGAAGACTTGAGACCAACAGTAAACCTAAATATGGTCATGACATTTCATTTAATTTCATTGCAAAATGCCTTCAAAAGCACAAAAAAAAAATCGAATTTAATTATGGCATCAAGCCTTCCATTCTTTCCATTTCACTTTCTGTATTGAATGACAATATTCCTACATTCACATTGATCATGGAGCTCTCTCAGAAGTAAGATATCATGTAGCTTGTACAAATTAAGATGCTAACTGGCATGATGATTATTAGCTCAGTCTCAATGAGTGTTTCTATGAACAAAGTTGAACAAAGCTCCCAAGACTGGGGGGGAGGGGTTACTGCCAGTCTAGTGCAGTCCCCACCCTTCAAGTCACTCACACTTCAGCATAAATGGCTAACAATATGGGCACAAGCTAACTTACCAAGATCAGAACTGGGAAGGACTGCAGCCATCTTCTTAGTGAATGAAAATACCCTCACATCCAGTTCAAATATCTAATGATGCTTGACTAACTTTTCACTTCAAGTAAATGTGCTTTCTGCAAAGACCAATGTCAGCAACACAGAATTCACATGGCATGGAAGGAAAATGAAAAACTGGTGGGTTCTAGATGCCAATCTAGCATCTGAGCACTGATGCTAGCACTGCATTTCCTGTAATATTTCAGGCAGACATTAATATCATAGTTTAGGCCTAAAAGTCTTCAATCTGTTTTAAGTTTTAAAATTGGTAATCACATCTCAAGAGGAAAAGAAATGTAGGTAGTACATATAAGCAGACAAAGGAGAGGAGTGAAGATTCCTATTTCCATGAAAATAGAGAAATTCATGATCAGTTCAAATTGAAGATTAAGATATGCATGTTCTGATGACTAATGTGAAAATATGAAGCTCATCCTCAACTGCAACATTGTGATCTTTTTTGATGAAACAGAATCTCAGAGCTCCCATAGAGCCAACTTAAAATATTCATGTCATGGGAGCAAGAGATACCAAAACCTTTTGCATTCACATTCATGCAGATGATTTTCATCATGAAAAAGAAGGATGAAGAAAAGAAAAGAAAACCAGGAGGAAGAGGAATGAGGTCCAGAGCAACAATTGAAAGTAAAGGTCAACAAGAAGTCACAAGTAGAGATAAACTAGAAGAGAAAATACAGGTTCACTATGCCTACTGGAGCTGGGAAAAATGGGAAGATGCAATGATGGCAATTTTCAAGCACAAGCATAATGGAATTTAAAGACCTTGATTTTCTCTGCCCAGATTGTAAGAAAAAGCATGATTCCATGAGCTTGTCATATCTCAGAATCCAAATTCAGTTTTTTTTCCTCATACCATTACCAAGAATAATGAGTTCAGGGGCAAGCACCTTTTATAAATGCTTTTCATACAGTTGTTTTCATACCTGTTCATGTGTGTTGTTACTGCAAGGGCACAATATGTTATTCAGGTCTATGATATCAATCAAGAATGTGATTTCCAATAGACAAGGGTACACAAAATGCATGGAGAAGTGACTATTTTTCTGAAATTATTAGTCTTCTGTGAGAACTGATGTTCAGTGCCACATTTTTGACTGTGGTGCTGTGTAAATCTCAATGCATGATTCTTTCCTACCTTCACTGCTAATATCCCCCAATGATTTAACCACCTTGGCGTTTCATTTTCCCGTTTGATTTTACTATTAAAAAACACTCCATTTTTTCTGCCACATGAGATATTTAAGCTTTATACTCTCTGTATACTCCTGCTCAAAATCCACACACTTATTATGCATCTATTGTTTAATGCCTTACATGTAGCACATGTAAACAATACAACAGATCAGAAATCAAATTAATACCTTTCAGAAATTACCCTGAGATAGACTCAGGTCAAACGCCAAGGGGGTTAAGCATGAAGTGTCTCAATGAGGTCATTCATTTAGGAATGAGGCATATATTTTTTTATTATTTCCCAAGATATGGGTTATGCCATGATTTGGCACATTCTATGTGATGCAAATCACCATGCCAAATGGACATTCCTACAGGCGATACCATTTAGTTTGATGCGGGATGCATAATAACACAAGCAGTAGTGCAATTAGAATTCTGTCTTTTCAATGAGCTACAGCCGAATATCCCCCTTCCCTTCCCTCCCTCCCATACTCATAGGGCAACCTCGTATGAATGTGTCAAAAATCTCTGGGGATGTCTTATGCATGTACCAATGAAAACTGCATTCTAATATGGTGCCCCATTATAGTACCCCAATTTCAATATAAAGTCTTTCTAGTTGGTTTAAGATCATGCAATCACACACTTCCATGTTACAAGCCTCGTCTGCAATGTAGCTATAGGTCCTATGTGATGGGCCTGCATCATGTGTAATGGTAAGCTTGGCTATACAATGCTCTAGATTAGGCCTCAGCATTTCATATTGCGGGTTTTTCTTGCCTAGAGCCGGGGCTATAATAATGTTACGTCTAGCATAACAGAGGCCTGGTGTGCATACGTGCGCCCTACGTGTTCGACCAACCTCATAAGACAATTTAGCCTTCCTGAGCTAACGTTGTGCTTATATAGGCCTAAGTTAGGCCTAATTGACAATATGTCAAATCCACAAATCAGAACTGTGAAGAAACTCTAACGTTAAATTAGAACGATAAACCCTACTAGCATTACACCGAGGCATCAGAGCTTGCTGGGGCCCCCCCCCAGCAAGCTCTGATGATGGGGGGGTCACTGACAGCTTAAGTAACATGCTTTGCCATAGGACATGCTGTCGCCACTTCGCGAAGTTCAAAGTTCGCGTGGGGAACGGAGGCAGTACTGGCCAAGGTCTGTAGATACAGAGGTCAAGCGACTGCCTCCCCCCATGAAATGTGTCCAGGCACGGGAGCAGCCGCTAGATGTCACTTGAATCGCCTGTTCTACTGTACGCACACTGCAGAAGAACGGCACCTGCCAGGAATAAAATGCCGCTATCACGACTCTTTTTAACTTTCTTCGCATCACGTGGTACCTTTGATACTTTCTGAGTTGATATCTGCTTCGCTCATGTCTGGGGATTTCACCCATCTCGGCAGATTTGGGTGATTTAAACCCAAATTTGATTTGATTTGACGCTGATTTAAAATACTTCTGTGCGGCTCTTCTTGTGAGGATGCGGTAAGCAGAGGGGAAGATTAGCAAATGCCTCCTACCCAATTTTCCGGTGGTGGATGGCAAAGCGTGCCTTTTACTCCTCACTTTTCCCCCAGTTAGATGCATATATATATATTGATATATTGACGAGCGGATCCAGTTCTGACATGCGCACTTGCTGAACCCCGACTCTGGCATGTTCGGAACTATACCTTTTGCAATCCGCTTTTAGATAGTTTTAAACTCATTTTTGGCATTCTGTAAGTGAAGAATGTCGACCGAAAAATAGGTGAAAGTGATCGCATATTGAGATATCGGAATCCATTTTCATTTGTGAGAACTGCATTGCAATCGGAGACATACGGTTTCGGCAACGAAATGTCATTTTTGGGGTCACATGCAATTTCTTTTTTCTACGAAAAAGAAATTGCATGTGAGATACGACGATTAGAAACTCAAGATCGTCCGCGGTGTCTAAAGTTTGTCGACGAGTAAGTTTTATTCAAAATCATGATATGGAATGCCAAGGCAATTTACAGATAAAAGCAATCGCCGATGAAAATAGAATAAAGATAAAGATAAAGCATTCTCCGCTATAGAATGGATTGTGTGCAAGTTATTAATTTCTCGCGCGGCCCATTATAAGGTATTCATTTGAGGGGAAAGGCAGGGCTGCCCAGAGGGGGGGACAATTGAGGCAATCTGCCCCGGGCCCCTCGTATCAAGGGGTCCCAAGGGGGGGCCTCCAAAAGGCCTCAAGGGGGCCCCCAAGGGGTCTCCGGTTTAGTTTTGTTCTGGACCCCTGGAAACCTCTGGGCGGCCCTGGGGAAGGGGAAGGGTCATTTGATTTTTCAAGCAAGGAAAACCCAATTGAATACATGAAAAGCCTCAAATTCAGTCTCCAATCAAGTCCATCGTGAAAAAATGCTATAACTATCTCTTTGAATGAAGGAGTGAAGTGTGACAAATATGCTGTGCTTTAGTATTCTAAATGTATTCCAAAGAGCAGAACTGAGTGGATCCTGGCTGAACGACAAACACCTGTTACAAAGCGTTTCTCAATACTTGCCCCTGCCACTCGTTGATGTGTAAAGCGACGGTACGACTGGATAGGTTACCAAGAACAATCGGTTAAAGCATGGTTCAAGAACCATGCATTCGCTTTGGTTGTGGAATCACAGCTAACCCTTCCCTCTATTTTTTCCTTCCGTAATTGAGGTCTTCAGGGATAACCTTTTACTAAGGAGGGTACTTCAAGTACCCCAGCCTAATATTGATGTAAAAAAAATTGTGCTGATATCAAAATTGCATATATTAACACACATAGGAAAAAAACAAAACTCGGCAAATTGATTTTTAAAATAAGGCAGAAATTTAAAGAAAAACTTAAAGGGGGTACCACCAGGACCCCCCTCGGTAACAGAAGGGTTAGAGCCTATCCCATTTTTTTTTTCTCCTTCCCCTTCCCCCCCTCCCCACCACCATTTAGTAAATGCGGAGTTGCATGCATACAAATCATCATGAGCTAGTGTCATGCCACTCTTTGGCCTTCGGCCTCATTCCAAGCGAGTATGGGAGGCTGAATGCATCAATATGCATTTCACTACGACTACGGCGAGTAATCTGCAGTAACTTTTACATCAACGAAACTCATTTTCTCCGACTCCACGAAAGTGTCACGGGATCGAAATGCCGCTGCAGTTATGCTTGTTTTTACATGGGAAGTTTTGAGAAAAAGGAAAGGTTCCTCAAAGCTCTATATGGTGTCTTGAGTCAATTATAGTCGTGTGCAAGCGAATTATAAAATGCCGCTCACCCGAGACATCCCCAAGAGTCAATTTGTGAGCAACACATAGATCCAAGGATCAGCATATCGACGAGCTGAGCCAAAATCATCGCAAGGAGCTCTGAAAAGCCTCCTAGTGATATATCGCATGACTAAAGTCACATTAAAAAAAAAGTGAACTTTCGGAACATGCAACTTTTGACAATTTTTTTTTCGGAAAAAACACAACAAACCATATATCGTTGGAAAGATCTCAAGCTTACCTTTCCACTGACACTACCCCTGCTACCGTAAGTGCTCCACCATATCGAAAAATATGCGACTAAAGATCATCTAATGATGATGATACGGAAATTCCTACTTCAGGTGAATTTTTATCTATATCGGACAAAAAGTGAAACAAGTAACTTGCTCTATCGATGCAGCTGAAAGGGCAGTGAAACTTATCGTAACGAGAGATTTTGCTTTTCCTTTGTCGCTTAAGGATATTGGCTGGTCAAAATTGCCTGACTTTCACAATTTCAAACTTGACTGTGATACTAAAATCTCATTCAAACTCCACGGATGTATAGTACGAACCGGTCACCTATTGAAGAGCTCCGGGTGAAGCTATTGCACGCCTTCGTACGGTGAACGGTTCTTGAGATGGAAATATTGCTGTCGATGAGGTTTTCCCGTTTTCTCCCAAAGTTCGAGGGACAATATCTCGCTAACCGCAGTTCCGACGGAGGCGTTTCTTTTTTAATTTTATTTTTACGGGG